TTTGGTCACCATACCTTAAGAAGGACATTGCTGCCTTAGAAAAGGTGCAACGCAGGGCTACAAGAATGATTCCTGGTCTTAGAGGAATGTCTTATGAGGAGAGGTTAGCTGAGCTGAATCTGTTTAGCCTTGAGCAAAGGAGACTAAGGGGGGACATGATCCAGGTCTATAAGATTCTAACGGGTCTGGATGCTGTTCAGCCAAATAGTTACTTCAATATTAGTTTAAATAGTAGAACTTGTGGCCATAGGTAGAAATTAGTGGGAGAACATTTTAAAATTAATCTGAGGAAGCACTTCTTTACACAGCGTGTAGTTAGAGTATGGGATAGTCTTCCTGTTAGTATAGCACAAGCTAAAATCAGAGCTAGATAAGATTTTAACAACTCTGAGTTATTAGTTAAGTTCTCCCCAAACAAGCTTGATGGGCCAAATGGCCTCCTCTCGTTTGTAAATTTCTTATGTTCTTATGTGAGACACTTGGGTGCTGAAGCAGTCTGGCTCCTGCTAGGTTGCTGGCCCAGTTGCGGGACATGGAGACGGCGTTCGACGGCTTTTTCGAGAAGCATCACCTGAAGCTGAAACAGTACCTGCAGCTGCTGAGATATGAACAGAGCTTTCATGAGGTAAAAGCCCATAGCTCAGCATATGGGAAAGGCCAAACGATATATTGTCCCCTAGTTACCATAGGGACAGGTGACCACAAAGTGAATAAGGAACCACTGTTTTTCTTTGATAAATCTACTCATATAAACGGAGAGATCATCGAGCCCCTAGTCCTTATACCACCTGTGAGTTGTATTCTAAGTTTATTCATAATGGGGTTATAAGTGCTATGTGTTTACTGGGAACCTCAACCTGCCCATATATGGACAAACGTGTCCATGGCGAGACTTGTCTCTGTCCGTGACAAAATCTTTTGTTTATTTGGTGGGTACACATGACGCAGACATAGTACGGATATTCTTGGCATTAACACGAAGGACGTGTGGCTCACATAATGATGAGATTTCATTAATCCAGGCGCTCACTTGTATCCTGTGATTTCGGCCACCAGATGGAGTCCTCTTTGCACCAGATGATAGCGCAGGAGAAGGAGATCGCTTGCGTGGGGTTTACAGTAGCTCAGACCGAGCAGCTGATTAAAGAGCTGGACACTCTGGACAAGCAAGCCCAGGTCTGTCTTCCATGAACTGCTTCATGTCCAACAGTGTGTGCTAATGTTACGTTATTAAATTTACATTTTTATAATGTTCTACCTTCTTAAATGGTAGACATGGCAGGACAACAAATTAAAAATTATATGTCACTATATGTAAGTATTTTTTGTTTACATATATATATATGTAAACGATAATAAACATTTAAGAAACATAAAACATTCATCATTCATTTTGAAGGAGCACTATTGTGCTCATTTTCTCTGCTCATAATTTCATTTTTGGAATGTACTACAAATAGATTGACATGCTTCAATGTTCCAGAACCACATTATTTTTCTCATGCTGTACATTTCTATTCACTTTATCTGTAACTCTGTCTGAAACACTGTGTGAGAGCTTTAAGACCCACCCCCGATGAGCCCAGTGTGCTCTGGTTGGTCAACTTGCCAAATTGGTCAGTTTTCCCTATACCTTTCACCCCTACCTTGCAGTCTGCAGACAGATCCTTGCAGGCAGGCGGCCAATAAGGATTGTGTTACGAGGTGACCTCACCATGTCACGGAAGTAAGGGCTGGCGTTTTAGGCAGATTACAGAATCTGTGGTGAGAGTTACTCCTTTCGCCATGTACATTGGGCCTTAAGATTTTGCAGACTGTTTACATGCACATACAGCTATATAAAACACTAAAGGTAAGGGAAAAACTGGAAAAGCATAATTGGGCCCCTTCAAAAGTATAAAACATTAATCATTCATAACTGAGATAATGATAAAATATAAGAATTATGGGATTAACATAAAACAGTATCATTCGTTTTGTTGTCCATGTGTTGATCAGTAGTTAGCGGTAATGAGAGATGCAGCTGTAGGGTCCGGCGAGTGTCACTGGTGTAACGCTGACTGTTTACTCCCTTTGGCTTGTCCAGGAGGAAATGGGTCGCGCCCAGATCATCATCCTACACGGCCACCAGTTGGCGGCCAATCACCACTACGCCCTGGCACTGATAGTGCAGCGCTGCAACGAGCTCCGGCATCACTGCGACGTGCTAACCGCCTCGCTGCGCGCTAAGCAGGCTGCCCTCGGGCGTACCCGGGACCTGCTACTCCGGCTAGAGCAGGTAATGGGCGAAGCCGTGCAGCGTGTCTGTCTGGCCACAGGCTCTGTCTGCTGGGGGCATTGTGCGATATACCACACACATAGCTAGGGCATGCGGCGTAACGCACAGGCCACTCCTGCACCTGGAGAAACTAGGTAGCCGTCACATCTGAAGGAGAAACTTTACACTCTGACCGACTTAAACTTTTTTAGATTTTAGACTCTATGTCCCCATGGGGGAAATTGTTTTGCAGAGCACTGTACATTCCAAAAGAATCAAGATCACATTTTACACCTGTCATTGTACAACAGAGAATAAAGCACAAACGTCAATATTACACAACAACGGAGGATACTGTAAGGGGCGGAATTGGTGCACGATAATTAAATAATAGAAGATTTAATCACTGTCAAAAATATCACTTCATAACCCCTGTTAGGTAAGATCTACTGGCATGGGAAAACTGCGGAATGGTGAGGAAGCTCACAAAAGCGAAGATAAAAATTAAAATAACTAAATAACTGCATTGACTTCAAACAACTAGTCCAACCTCAACAACATTCTTGTGCATACCACCACAATTTATATGTAAACCACAATGTAACAAAACCAACCAACTAAAACACAACAAACTTGCAAATATTAGTAAAGTTATGTACACACGCTTAATCTACGTTACTGGCGATAAACAAATGCGTTTGCAGCTTTCAGCCTTTCCGTATACAATAAATACATGCAATTCACAAAGTTGAGAACCTTAAAACCCACATTAAAAAACTGTTGTAGGCGGGAGCTGGAAAAGCCCCAAATGGCCAACCCTTCAACCACTATCCATTGTTTCTACTGATTAAAATCTTGAGATTTTAAAAGCACAATGTTCAATAAAAGGCTACTGCTTACCAACTCCAGCGTCCATGCACAATCGAGAGCTCAGCGGATCGTCCGGTTAATTCTCCTTCTGTTTTTTTTATATGTAATGAATCTCCTGACTCAATGACACGGAACACCAATAAAAATAAAAGTCCTGAACACAAATACAAAAATGCACAGCCATGCACCTTGATACCGTAAAGATGCACGTGACAGCAGGCAAAAGAAAAGCTTGACAAAAGAAACAAAGACTCTTAGTTCTTTCAATGATTGTTCCCATGTAGGGCTCTTATGGCTTTGGGTACAAATCAACCCTAAACAAGCAGCATCTCACACACACACACATACAACCACAATGTACCGCACTCTGCCCTCCTGTTTGTTACAGTGCACACACACACACACACACATGCACGTGGCACAGTGCACCAGACACATAAAGACGCTCTTTGCCTTGCTGCTGAGCTGGGAGGATGTGCAGAACATGGGATGGGATGGGATGGGATGGGGGGGGGAGGCCTGCATCTCAAACCCTCAGCGCTGCCTCAAAGCCCAAACAGGCTTTTCTCTTCTATCAGCTAATCATGTAATTCAGCTGAGAGCGGCTATGACTCCTAGGAAGAATTGATATTTTACACCATAGTGTTGTATGGCTTTCACCTTAACAGTGGTTGTGTAAGCAGGTTCGGTGCATGACTGTCTTGTAGAATGCGGTTAGCTGAGCAGCATGTCCAGTGACCGCAGACAGACACCGCAGGGGGCCTTGCTTCCCGATTCTGCCGTTCCATCCATCTGCACGCAGAGGGACTAATCCTCCGGCCCCAGTGACCCTCCGCTCCCCCTCGTCTGTCAGTGCATCGCTGTGACTCTGTGAATCCCGTCAGCCTGCGTGTGTCTATGTCTGCCCCAGACCCTACGCTGGTGCGATGAGGGAGCCTACCTCTTGGCCAATCAGCTGGTGGATAAATGCGAGTCCAAGGACGGGGCGCAGGCAGCATTGCAGGACATTGAGAGGTTCCAGGAGGGGGCGGTTCCTCCCCTGAGCGCAGGCCCTGATATTCTCAGTCTTGAATATGAGTCTATCCTCACTCCCCAGCTCCAGGTAACGCTTTTGCCCCCCCCTCCCCGCGCCCCCCCCCCACCAACTACCGTGCTTGCTCATATGCGCATGGACTCAACAGCTTCTTTAATTTTTTTTCTGAGTATCAGCTGTAAACTAGCCTTAAAACAGGAGATATGCTTTTCTTTCTGCGCACAACACTGACTTTAACGAACACGAGAAAACACACGTGCGCACAAACGCACACGCACGGGGCGTGCATGAAGACACCCAGCTGAGCTTCTGGACGTGATCTTCACACCACAAGCATGTTCTCGCACAGAACAGGCCCCGTTTGTGATGTGTGATCAGAAGATTACAGCTTACTGCTTATTTTACCCTGAGAATACTAACATTCCACGTTGTTAATGCGGTGCCTCTGACACGTCGCATCTTTAAATGCAGTTACTGTAAGGTTGCAGCGTTAAGCTCCAGCTCTGTGCGTGCTTCACACATGGCTTTCTCTGAACAGTACCCTTGGCAACAGCGATATCCATTATCCTGTGTCACGCATGTAAAATGCATTTCATTGCTTAATAAACCTGTGACCATCTGGTTAAACGTCAAGCAGCAAATGGTAAGATCTCTACCCTGCACTCGTTCCCATTCATTATATCGTTAACACAGTGCTTCTCTTCTGCAGAAAAATGTTAGTCTTTAACCTGTCCCAAGTCCTTCATTTGCCTCAGTAACTCTTCCCCATACCATCTACTCTCTATCCCCCCCCAACCCCCCCCCCACACACACACACACCAGGCCCAGATTGGTGCAGCCCATGACAAGTTCTCAGCCATGCAGGGAATGATCCAGAACCGGCAGTCCAGCCTCCGCAAGCTGCTCGATAAGCAGGAGCGCCCCGTCCAGCCGGTGGCTCCCCGGCCAGAACCGCGATCCAAGTCGCCCCTGTTCTCCCCCAAACACAGTAAGCACAGTTGCATGACATTATGTGGTCACACTGGTGCCTTAAATGCATGTGAACAGCTGTGTGCTACTATGGAGAAATGAACCATACACTGTGTAAATATTACAGTTGCACAAGATTAGCCACACTAAATATACATAAGGTGGTTAGAAGGTATGTGGATATTATAATAAAAATCTAGCTACTTCCAAAATGCATAATATTTGTGATGCTATGGCTCAGCTGGTAACGCTGTTGGTGTCCCTCTGTGTGATGGACTTTCCCTGCCTTGCACTTCACACTTACTGGGATGAGCGCCAAGCTCACTCCAGCCCAGTACTCGATAAGTGGTTTGAAGATGGATGGATAGTGTAATCCTTACCCCCTTTGCACTGAGATGGCGATATAGATTGGATATTGGGAAACGCTTTACATTAACTGCACCTTTATAATGCATTCGTAGAACATTCATAAGCAGAATGTAAGTACAGTGGTACCTCAGAACTCAAACTTAATCCATTCGAATCCTAAAAACTTCGAGTTCTGATCAAATTTTCCCCATAAGAAATAATGGAAAACCAATTAATTGATTCCCAGCCCCAAAATATTACACCTAAATATGTTTTTTTTTAGCATTTAAACACAAAATGAACAGGATAAAACAAGAAGAGCATATACTGTACTAAACACATCTAAGCACATTTATCAAAACAGTAATTTGTAAAGCAAGAAAATAAATGTATCCAAACAATGCGTAAAGTAAAAAAAAACAATGTGTCCTGCCCCGATCGTCCGCTCCATCCGTGTGCCACGCCCTCTTGTTAACCCTGTGTGGAATCCCCGTGTGATCAGCTGTTTCTGGTTGTTGTAATTAGCCCTCTGTATTTCATCCGCGTTTCAGTTTGTTTACCCAGTCCGGTCATTGTATTGTCCGTCTGCGTTTTGCCTGCCTTACCTGTAATTAAACCCGTATTCCCCGATACCCTGACGTCTGCGCCTTTGTCTTCGTTCCGTCCCCTCTCGGCACGACAATATTATTATAATTAAATGTATGAATGGTTTATTATTAATGATATTAAAATTATTAATAAGAAAAATTTATTTTAAAATATGTTTTATTATATAATAATTACTATTACTGTCTATTATTGTCTAAATGTATTTTTATTGTCTAAATATATATATTCAACAAGTGTAAACATGCATGATGCTATCACAGCGAATGCGAGACTGAGACTGAAAGCGTTAAAATTTGTTTCTGCTGAGAGACGTGCCGCGTGACTCATTTCCCCGCGCATACAAGTTATCTTAGGTTGGCGTTCACGGTTCAACTTCAGAGATTCAGATCGAGTTCTAGGTAATTTTTTTTCAAACTGGTTGGTTCGACTTTTAAGAAATTCAAGTTCTAATGAGTTTGAGAACTGAGGTACCACTGTATATCATAACATCCTAACATACCTTAGCAGCTTAAATACATTAATCACAAATACTATACATTCATAGAAATCATTATAATCATATTATATGATAATGTTTGTTATTAATTTTAAGGTATGTTAGGATGTTGAGGTATAGTTACATGCTGCTTATGATGTTCTGTAAATACATTGTTAAGGTGCACTGAATGTTCTATGAATGAATTATAAAGACATTATAAAGGTGCAGTTAATGTAAAGCATTATTCTATCTCAAAAACGGTTTACCTGAAACTGTATTACTTACAGTTTTGGTGTGTTTTAATTTTCAGATACACTGACCTACACTATTGAGAAACCAGTTACTTGCATTTTTAAAAAGTGTTTCAGAAAAAGACTAATTTCAAATATTTCATAGTAATAACTACAGAAGACTGTAGCACCTGAACCTTTTTGATGGAAATTCTGGCCTTGCCCACTGATGGCTGAGGCAAAGTCATGATGGAATGGGGATTGAGTTTATGAATTTGTGGTCCCCACCTACCAACAACAGAGGCAAATTCATAGTGTAATGGTGATTGGGTCCCCTTAGATCTCTGTAGGCAACAGCACATCTTTTTGGGTCATTAGAGTTGTACTGTGCATTGCATCTTTCACCCAACCTTGTTTTTTTTTTTTTCTCTTCCTGCTTGAGACACATTCCTGATTACTGAGCTTTCTGAACACAGGATGACTAGCATTATGAATAAACCATTTGGTTTTTGGTTTACATAATCCATTATCCACCATTTTGCTCCAAAATGTCACCTGAACAAAGAAGAATCAGGATGAATTCCGGAATGCCTGAGAATACTAAGGGAGACTTTAAAGCTAATTGCAAACACTGCAATAATCAGATATCCTGCTGAAAACGAGGCCTGTTCAACCTGCCTTCATGCGCAAAGGTTGTGCTTTTGAATTCTTTTCTGTATAATTTAATGGTCTTTACTGGGATTAGATCCCAGTGTACATTTACTTGATTGCTTTAAACCATTTAATCTGGATTTACTTTGTAATATAATGGTGTTTTTAAGTGCAGGAAAAAAATATATATATACAAAAGGACAGGTTATTCTCTGTACTTTTTTGTGTTTTTAAGATGGATCATTAGCAGTAATGTTTTCTGTTTTTTTACCCTTTGTTACATGTGGCCTGTGTATAATCATATATTGTATGTTTCTTAAATTTTAGCCAAAGTCCTCAGCACTGTTTTTCCATCGTCATCTATTGTGGCCAATATATATTGATCTGCATCTACTGAAGAATACAAAGCTCCTGTGAAACTCATGGAAAGTGAATCATTCAGGAGCTCAAAAATGGCTTTGAACTACTCAATCTCTGCTTACAGAATCACAGCTGGTGATACTCGCAGTGACCTCTGATAGTTATTATGGGTTGGAGCATCAGCGATATCACTCAGCATCCTACCTCAGAGTGAAGGAGAGTCTTTCTGAAATTGACTCTTCACAGTTTGATGTTTTCATATAAGCAGCTCTGGGAGATGTTGGAATACTCAGGAAACATCTTGAAGCACTATCATATTTAAGTTGTGTGTAGCACTAAGCATTTTTTGCTGCCTTTTGTAGCTCTCTTTGGAGAGGTATATGTATAGTGGTGTTGATAAATGCAAGGAATTCTGCAAGCAGCCCAGTCTATTATTCTGGGGGTTTGCTTTCCAAGATTTGGGCAGGCATGTGTGGGATGGGCTGTTACTTGGCTGATACTCTTTGGATTACAATGAAAGACAGCAGCTTTAAACGTCTGTAATGTTGCTACACCATCTCAACAGCCAATTGAACAGCCAATTAGGAACCACCTGCTGAAAATGTTGTGTTTCACATGTTGACAAAGCTATCCATCCATTAGGAGGAATGTTCACCAAGCTGATTGTACCCTTATCTACAGGGTACCATAGACAACTTGTTTCTGTTGAATATTGTTACAGCCAATTATAAAATGTAATCAATCAGAACATTGTACAATCATTTTAATCACTCCTCCAAGCACTATTAAACTCGTCAATAGCCTGAAGGAATCAACCAGCATCATGTTTGAAGAGAAACCATTATTTCGAATGGCCTTTTTCAGACTTATGTGTGCAATTATTAGTATAGTAGTATATATAATGTGCACTGTGAAGGCTGCCTGTATCTCTGCAATGGTTAGAAAAACAGCTGATGATGAGAAACCTTGTAGCCCAATAGTCATGATGGCAGGATAGCATGTTATCAGAGTTAAGGCAGCAACCATGGTCCTCCAAGGAACCAACAGAAAATATCTGAAAACGCCACTTGTGCACCTCTGTAGCCGATCTTCTGCAATTTTGGAGAACACATTGCAAAACCCTCTCAGCATTCTCCAGGCTGGCTGCAACCTTGCATGCATATCCCTCCATGTTCTAGAGATGTGGATCCTGCGTCTATCTTTGGTGGCTGCGTCATTAGATGACATCACTTCTCACAATCAAATGATTGAGACTAATGTTTTTGGGAAAATAACAAGGCTTATGTATAATGAGTCTGTGGTATTCTGGGTATTGAGTAAAACATGGAACATGACCTATCACTGTTGTATGTCATTTTTCTTTTTAACATTTCAATGCACCTCTCCATTACTTTTTCTAAAATACCTTTCTATTTTGTTGTTTTTTTTTTACAAACTAGATTTTTATCGTTTGTATAGTTTTACTTTAAATACTTCATGCTGACAAGAAACGTTTAATTTCTGTCCTTATTTTGTACTGCAGTCAATAAATTCAGAACAAAGAACGTGACCATCCAAAGAAGCTGGTACTGTATATCTAATCATTATCTGCACAAGTTTAGTTGAAAATAGTGGGCAGTGTTCAGATTCCAGTTTTAAGGCGTATTGATTTTTTCAGGATTTTTCTCAAAGTAGGTAAGAATCCACGTTTCCAAATATGTCCAGACCCCTGACATCTAACTGTCCATCTTCCAACCACTTATCCTGGTCAGGTTCACCGAGGGGCCCTGCAGCCCAAACCACAAGGCAGGGGTACCCTAGACAGGGTGATGCTCAGTTATGGTAAAGACTCACATATTATGCATGAATTCCAGTTGCTTAGCAGCTTAACCGCATTTCTATGGAAACCAGAGCACCTGAAGGAAACCCACATATAAAAAGGGAGCAAATGCAGGTTCTACACATACAGCAGGATGCTTCCCCCCAGCCTTGGAGGTGCCACGCAGCACTGCTGCCCACTGAGCCTCTGCACACCCAGAATCCCACTCTGAGTACAGAACTCAATAACTTGTATGCAGTTGAGTCTATAAATGCAATACAAATTTCACAGACGCAAATGTAACCATATACATACCGTCGCGTTATTTGTTCAGCAGCGGTACCCAGTTTCTGTTTAACAACATGCTACCTCTTCACACTTAACTGTTCAACAGATTTTCACCGATTTTAACTAACAGTTAAGGTAAAGGAAACCTAAACAGAGTCAGGCTACACATTCAAATCTGTGGAGAATAAGAAGAATATTTCTCACTGGTGTTACTATTTACATGTTTGTTTATACTGGACGATTGAGTATTTTAATAATACTAACCTGCAGCCACTTTATTTCCCTACATCAGGTGTTGACTTTAACTCCAGCTTAAGGTTCTCTTTTGACCTCTCTCTTCCGGGAAAGAAGGCATCCCGGAAAGGTACCAACTCGAAAAAGGTGAGACTCATACACAGTTACAAAACACAAACTCTAACTTCTCCTGAAGAGAATCCAGGCTGGTGGGGCCTCCATTGGAGAGCCGGCCAGGGGGGAGACCTGACAAATGACATTAGATTAGATCAGATGAAATCAGATCAGATTTTTTGATCCCCACTAAAACCTAAAAAAGGCCCCCAAGGGAATGCACCCAGAGAAAGCAGTGTACCCTCCTAGAATACAGTCAGCTTCAGAACTGTTAGAATCCCTCTTCAGAGCCACCACTCTACTCTATTGGCTTGGGATCTGTACCAGCTGTTGGAAGGTTGCTGGTTCAAATCCCATGAATGCCAGGAGTAGTTCTACTCCATTGGATCCTTGAGCAAGGAAGGCCCTTAACCTGCAATAGTTTTGCCCTGAGTATGACATTAAACTACATCCAGCCCTGCAAGGAGTTCCTCCAACTTCCAGGGGTAATTTTGGGGTTGGCGGCAGGATTGGCACTCCAGCCGCCAGAAAACTCACACTGGTCCATTCGGATTAGTGTGCTGCTGAGGTATCACCCACTGCACAGCTGCATTCAGGTTCTCATCCCTGAGGTGGTTTGTCCTGTGGTGGGTGTGGCATCTCACTTACCTCCTCCTTATCAAGATGCGATAAACATTAATGCATAAGATGAAGCCACAGTCTGTGAATAACTCAGGATGGGACACCAGCCCATCACAGTATTTCCCTCACTCCAAATTACCTTAGCATGTTTTTGGACTGTGAGGGGACACCAGAGTTCCCAGAGGGGACCCGACAACAACATGGGGAGAACATGCAACCCCTACACGCATAGGAGCCATGGCAGAGACTCAAACCCTGATCCCAGTGGGGTGTTACAACAGTGCTAACCACTGCACCATCATGGCACCCTCAAACTGAGTGCCTTATTCGGTTATTTCCTGTTATCGTAGGACATTGGTCGCCAACCAGTCAATCACAATCGACAGGCATTCCTAGTCGATCGCACTGGCCACTTCCGCGTGTCGCTTTTCCAATGCACAACAGGAACTGTGACCTTTATGCTAGACAAGCATGGGCAACACAAAAAAAGCTTATAACTCCAGTACAGTATAACTCCAGTACAGTATAACTCCAGTATAGAATAACTCCAGTATAGTATAACTCCACTACAGTATAACTCCAGTACAGTATAACTCCACATGTAATATCACAGAAGACTGCACTGCGGCCCCAAAACCACGGATGATGAACAAGTAATTTTGTTAGTTATTGGGGTCAATCACACAGTCCAAAAATACAGGGAAAATTGCATTGTATTCATATTTTATTTATATTTTTGATTTATCTGGCCTGCAACATGTTTATAATTCATTATTGAATCTGGCCAGCAAATTGATTTTTCGTTTTCTGCAGACTGAAGCAGGATGTACCATTACTCCGATAATAAACGCTGGCAAGTGTCACTGCTAGAACCGGTGATATTAGACAGAACTATGTCAGTTATCAGGCGAATTTTCCGATGCAGAAATATGGAACCACGAGCACTGAAGTATTTTGTGAGTATTCATCAATGCACTGAATGTAACTGAGATACAAAAATAATTCCATCTCCTCAAGTTTTGCTCCACTACTTCTGTGTAACTTCCAAGTTAGGGGCGGTGCTTGTAGTCAACCAATCGCTATAAGCCTCACCCAGTAGTTCTTGGTTGAGCAAGTACTGTACCTACTCCAGAGTACAGACTAAAAAAAGATTCAGGAACTACCTCCAAGAAACTACTATCAGGCTGAGTTCCTGTGGTGAAAACACAACAAAAGTCCCTGGTTTCTAAAAAAGGGTCTGGTTCTGAAGAACAGTTCCTGTGGTGGGAAAGCGCTTATTATGCTGATTATGCCAGTAAACACTTTATTACGGAAAACAAGAAATGAGGCAGAAACAGTACAGAGAATTGAAGGGTCTGTTGAATCCCTTCAGGGTGGTTTTCTGCCAAGCGGAAGACTGACATGGACAGAGATCGTATGTGCAGTTGACTGGCCTGTTCTTTCACTGCTGGCCCTTAAGCTGTGCTGGGGAAGGCTGTGCTGGAGAAGGCTGTGCTGCCCCCTTCTTGCAGAGGTTTGTTGCCACCAGCCACTTCCAGGTTAGCTTTCGTTGCAGGTGGTTTCTGGTGCATATCAGAGAGGCCATCAACATTTCTGTGGGCCATGCCAGCATGGTGCTGCTCTAAAGTCAACATCTTGAAGGTTTTGAGCTGTAGCTTCTAAGCTGATCTTCTAGTTATCTGTATACAGCTGGATAGGCTTTCTGGTGCAGTAGTGAGGGCCTTTTTTAAGCAGTGGAACATGAGTTCGGCCTCCACAGTCCACTGGACATGATCAGGCTGGATTTTCCATGTGGGTCTTAGAATGAGGTGGCTAGAGAGGAGTTGGGGACAAAGTAACGTCGTACCCAGAGAGTGCTGGGTTGGCCTATACATAATCCCAGGATGGCCTGCTGTTGGGCAAATGAAAAATACATAGAATATAAATATTTAAACATATAAAGACTGTAATGTGGGCGGAACTGTGGTGCAGTGGCTGCTCCTCACCTCTGGGGTTCAAGTCGCTGCCATGGCCCCATGCGTGTGGCGTTTACATGCTCTGCCCGTGTCGTCATGGGGTTTCCTCTGGGACTCGGGTTCAAGTCGCTGCCATGGCCCCATACGTGTGGCGTTTACATGCTCTGCCTGTGTCGTCATGGGGTTTCCTCTGGGACTCGGGTTCAAGTCGCTGCCATGGCCCCATGCGTGTGGCGTTTACATGCTCTGCCCGTGTCATCATGGGGTTTCCTCTGGGTGCTCTGGGTTCCTGCTGAGGCTAACTGGAGGTGCCATATTGCCCATAGGTGTGAATGTGCCCCATCCCTGCCTGCCGCCCATAGCCTCCAGATCCCCATCACCCCAAATAGGACAATTGGGTACAGAAGATGGATGGATAAAAATATAATGTAAATAATGTTTTAAAATAGGAACATTGGGACAAACAAAGATATACACTTAACCCCCTGATTGGCATATAATGGGGTTTTGCAATAAATAAATAGGTGTAGTTTCAGACCAAAGTGCCACAACAGGGGCTGAGCATTGAGATAAAAACACATTTATTAACTTTCACATTTCCAGTTGATCCACCCAGTACTTCTAGAACAGGTCTGTTAGTGTGGGTTGAGTATGGATTGGGGGGGAGCAGGTGTTGAATTGACCGTCATACAATGCTCTCATTCCCCCCCCGAACCCCCCCCCCCCCGTAAGTAGATCTTTTTTAAAATGCAATGGGGGCTGGGTGGGCGATGCATGTTTTCTTCTGGCAAGGTGATCCTCACCCAGCCTTCATAATAAGAGGTTCCTCGGCAAAGCATCTTCTCTGCTTCCCTCCCTTCTTGAATGTACGTGATTCTCCAGCTAAACAAAGGTCCCATTATGCTGTGCTTTCCTATCAGATAGAGGTGATGCATGACTACCAGGAGAACCGCAACTCCCGCTCCTTCAGCTTCGATGGAGACGAGAGCCCTGACATCCTCAGCCGGTGAGCAGCACCTGACCTCATGGCCGGGCATCACTAGCGAGGTCTCATGCGCTCGTCCTCCGCTTTACTGCCTTTCCTGTTTTGCTGTTTTGGTCCTCAGTCACGTGATGAAGGAGCTGATTGAGACGGAGAAAATTTACGTGGAGGAGCTGCTTGCTGTTTTGTTGGTAAGATGCACATCTCCCTGACTGAATGTGGAGGTTTTTATTTTTTTGGAGGAAAGAAAATATCGAGTATAAGGTTTTAAAATGTTCCATAAATCCTGTCAAATACAACTCATTCATGCTAGAAATTATGTAAATGCAAAAAAATAAACAGATCACAAAAGCATGACTGAGACAGTCTTTACATTTTATGGTGTCAGTGGGTCAGTAACAGGTGATCTTCAGAAACGATTCCCCGGGCAGGACATACATATGTTTTTGGAACCGGTCCACTGTAGGTTCTTTCCTTATAAAACCTATAACTCAAAAATCTCTTGATGGATCTTTTTCTAACTTCGCAGAGGCATTGTATGGGTGATGACCTGGAACAGGTTACATTTTGAGACATATCGGCCCAAAAACAGCACCATGCAGTTTCACACATTTGATCCTGTTTGCATTATAACTCAAAAAATTGATGTGCAATAAATGAACAGATGTATTTTCAGAGTTACGTGTCACAACTAGGACTCATAGAATTCAGGTAAAAACCTTTATTGGCTGACATTTCCGTCCAGTAATCCTAGAAATTGTACTTGTTTGTGAGAGTGTGGGGAGTATGGATTGATGGGCGGAGTCGGGAGTATGGATTGATGGGCAGAGTAGGGAGTATGGATTGATGGGCGGAGTAGGGAGTATGGATTGATGGGCGGAGTCGGTGACGGGGCCGTCCGGGGAATATAATGCTGTCATTCTAACAGCTCCCCTTTCTGGTGTTTCAGTGCAGTTAAAATATACCGTAGTCAGAATGAGCAAAACATCATATGTCCACTTATCAGAATGACTGTGTGTGAATTCTATGGATTCTATGTATTGTATTCTGTCTCTGGGTACTGATGCTCAGTGCATGTATGTCTCAACCCATCGTATTGGGCTCCAGGGGTACAGGGCTGAAATGGACAACCCAGCCCTCTCAGGCCTTCTTCCCCCCATGGTACGAAACCAGAAGGAAGTCCTCTTTGGAAATATGCCTGAGATCTACAAGTTCCATAGCAGGCAAGGCAGCTGAGTACTCAGGACAATGAGCCACCGACGCCATAAGTACCCTGATGTCCTGTTCACCTACTCATGGTTACGCTACATTTACCTTTAACGTTGCACTCATGGGTAATCTTCTTGCAGCACAAAGACTTAGATAGGATTTGCCCATAGTGTGTGTCCTCATATAGCCTGATGTCCTCTTCGGGGATGTACCCCTGCCGTGTGGCCTGTGCTACCCTGGTTAGGAGCCTGTCCACCCTCTTTGTGACCTCGTACTGGACTGGCAGCTGGATAATGGAAAGGAACATATACATTTTAAATAGAAAAATAACATAAACCCAAGAATACCATAGACTCACATAAGCCTTGTTATGTTCCCAAAATCATCATCTGATTGTGAGAAATAATCTTATGTAAAGTTACAGCCAAGTTAAATACAGATTCTGTATCTCCAAACATGCATGGATGTTTGCAGCCAGTCTGGTGAATGTTTTCCAGTATGTTATGCACCATTGTAGGAGATCAGCTGCTGGGTACATTGGTTCTTCCTAATTCAGTCCAAGTGACTGTGTGTGTATCCAGGGAATCCCCTGTGCTGTACGTACTGGATTAGGCTGCAGGCTTACTGTGACCCTATACTGGGTAAACATTTACAAAAAAATGGATGGTGTATGTTTGAAAATCATTCACTACAATGTATTTGGCATACACATGAAGGAAGACACAAACAGTTTGTTTGCTGCTAGTTTATATGCCAAGTTAGAAAAAAATTGTTAATTCCAAGTTTCTGGACAGAAGCCACACAAGTGTAAGTGTCACAGTGACCCCATGACCATCCCCTGAACCCCGGTCAACCCCTCTCCTCCACAGGATCTTCCTGCAGGACCTGGAAGCATGCTTGGAGAACCCAGAGAGAGTAGGAGCCTGCTTCTTAGAAAGGGTGAGGTACAATGTGAATTCAGGGAGACCATGCAGCAGATCCGGCTCATCTTGATAATGATTATCTGCATAAAGGCATTTTTTTGGCCTGAAAAAGATGTATCTGCTGCCCTATATGGAAACTTGTTCTTCGATGTCCACCGATAACAGTACTGGTGTGAGCATCGTGTCTGATACAGCCCTCATGTACTCATTCATGTGACAATGCGGAGATACCTGTAATCTATACGTGATGATGTATCAGCGATATTGTTAAGCAAAATAATTGGGACCACAACATTTCTGAGGTGTGGAAGTACTTAAAAATGAGCATTTTAAAATTATTTTAATTTGTTATCGTGATATGTGTACAGGCATATAATGTGTTCACATTATTTTTAATATTTAAAAAGTTTGCAGTTTCAAAACAGGTCTACCCCCACCTCGAACCCCCCACACAGTTGTCTATTTTTTTACTCGTCTGCGCCTCCGCACCATCCCCACAGTCTGAATCAGAGTTGCCAATTTAGCAATTTTGTTGCTAGATCTAGCAACTTTGCAGACTACCCAGACAACTTTTTTCGAAAAAGCAACTAGCGGCAAATCTAACAACTTATAAAACTAATTTTGCAACTTCGACTAACATTTGATTATGGCTGTGGTGATCACGTGGCGAATGTAATCGCGAATATATGGCGCATGCGCAGTAATCACCAGGGCTTTCGGCACCAGGTTTTCGGCCCGATGCAGGCGTTTACTTACGCCCACAGTTTGATAAGCAAATTAGTAGCGCGCCTACATTTTAAAGACATGCGTATTGGGACGCCAAGAAGTCAGTGGTTTGTATAAATTCGGCGTATCCTTATGTATATTAATTTCGTTAGCGGACCACACCACATGCTACTGATTTGGTAAATCATAGAAGCGATAAGCACTGAAGTGGCGGTGAAGAAAGGGACAGATCAGCAGCCACAACATATTTAAAAGAAGGGATATTGTGGATAAACAAGGTAAAAAAAAAAGTGTGGGTGGTGTGGTGGTATTTTTGCAGCTTAAGTTCTGACTCCTTTATGAAACTTAGGATACGCCGAATTTATACAGACTATTAACTTTTGGGCGTCACAATACACATCTCATTAATATTTTAAACACAATACTAATCTGCATACCAAATTGTGGGCGTAAGTAAACGTCCATATAGTAATAAAAAGGACAAACGTTTCACCCGTCATCTAAAACTGTCATTATGTCGCATGTACCATATAATCGTGATCACATAACGACGTGATCGTGACAGCCCTACTTTTGATGTCACTCAAAGGCTAAACTGCAAACATTTCCCCTCTAAATGACAAAAGTAAAAAAAGACTGGCTTCCTTATTATGAACGACTGCTAACTAGTTTTCAGCTAGCCGACGTTACTGCAACATGAAGTTGCTTCTAGCGCAGTTTTGTGAACGAAACTCATTAGCAGTTACTTGCCCTCTTAGATTTGTCGTCACACAATGACATCAGAATGTCATTTAGGAACTTTTAGCCACAAATCGTTGTGCCTGTAGCAACTTCCCCTGAAAATTAGTTGGCAACACTAATTTAAATAGCCTACCTCTGCATTCATAGAAGGTGATCACTGCAGAAAGTTCATGTGTAGTAGCTTGAATAAGTATTGAGAAAAAAATACTCTATAAGAACTATGAATCAGATTGTCTGCTGCAGGCACTTAACATTACTCCACATTTAAAGTATTTAGCTAGCTAGGCTTATGATTAGTTTAATTTCAAAATACACTTTTGATAGGCCTGGGCAGTATAAAGATAATACTGTAGACTGCGGTATTTTGAGTTTGCTAGTACAATGCAAAAATTTTATTGTGACACACCTCTCCCCTGCTCGGCTAATTTTATCACCAAGATATCAGAATTCCAAAAATACATTTGAAAATACCAGAATAGCGCTGTACAAAGTACTGTGCTTTCACAAAAATCATATTTTGCTTTGTTACTATCTTGTGGAGTAAAATAGCTGCATAGCTGCACACAAAGGTATGTGTTCAGTCTCCCTCACTCAACCAAGTGCACCTACCACTCTCTCTATACAGTATGTATTAAGACTGACTTGCAGGGAGCTGTAGTTCTCAGTCTGGAGCGAAAAGAGCAGGCAGAACGATAGGAAGTTCCTAACCTAACACTGACATTTAGATTCTGGTAGTAGTTCATGTCCTGCTCCCTATAATAATAATGCTGACATTTAAAACCGTGTTTTTAGAATTTGTAGCAGGTTGGCCACCGTATTGGTGAGTACCAGAAAGTGAGTACTGGTACTCGTACTTGTACTCATACTCGGTCTGAAACTAAATGGTGTTAATGCATCCCTACTTAATCCAGTTTCACCAATGTTTTTGTTCTTTTTTTAAAATCGATCCCTAATTAATTGCAGTATGAAGTCAAAAGACCTCAACAAGGGCCTTATTTGCCCCCCACCCCCGCTAATTTTATCTGAATCGGTAGTTTGGGGAGATATTTTGTTTTGCAAACGCTATTCCCAATTAAAAGCACACTGTGTGGACCAAAACTGCACATGGTGTTCTGGTGTTGGAAGAGTCTCTAGGGTTTATTTGTCCACAAGGAGCAGGATGATGGCGTGTGACCATCTAAGACTGAAGGATGCTTTGTTTATCTTTCCAGAAAGAAAATTTCAAAATGTATGAACGTTACTGCCAGAACAAGCCCCACTCGGAGGCTCTGTGGAGACAGTGTTCAGACTGGCCCTTCTTTCAGGTATTTTTTATGATGCTAATTCATACATGAATTGTGTTGTTGTTTTTTCAGTAGAGCTCATTGTTTGGCAATTATTGCCCTCTGCTGGTAGCAAGAAGAATTCTTTTTTCTTTTTTCAAAATTTCTTGGAAAATAGTGAAATGCATATTTGCTGAATATGTTTCTGTCTCTGGTAATACAGGAATGTCAGAAAAAGCTGGAGCACAAACTGGGCCTGGATTCCTATTTACTGAAACCCATACAGCGGCTGACCAAATATCAGCTTCTGCTCAAGGTCGGCCCAGCAACACCCTGCCAGTGTGACAAGGAACCAGAACCACGAACACAAGGCACATTTCAAAATATATTCAGGACAGGGGTCCCAAATTAGAAAGTAGCTTATTATGATTCATATGGAAATAGATCACATTCAATATTTAACAGCATTTTGTTACCATAAATTGTAACCATAAATTACTGAATGTTTCTTAACTAAGAAGGTAAAATCAGAAGTGGTAGCATTTTCATTAGATATGGCACCCCTAGGTTTTAATTAAGATCAGCCATGGTAACATTTCAAAAAGTTTTTTTTAGCTTGATGAAGGCTGTCTTAGAATATTATCCTGATATTTTGTATTTTGTAAGAGATTGTAAATCACCCACGACAGCAAGAATTGCACTGTAGTATATTACAGTACATGATTTTTATTTTTTTTTACGAATTGGTTTTATATCCAGTGCCTTATATTAAAATTTATTTGATGCTTTTGGCTTCACATATAAGCTCTCGGCATATTTACAAATACTTTTTCATGTTGGTAGCTGTATTCTTTTCCATTTAAAATAATGACTGGGAACTGATTTGATTGAGGAAAAAGACTCGGTGTCCATTGTTCTCTCTTGCAGGAGCTGCTTAAGTACAGTGTTGGTGATGAGGGGACTTCAGAGCTGCAGGAGGCACTCAATGCTATGCTGGAGCTTCTCAAATCCGTGAACGATTCCATGCACCAGATTGCCATTACAGGTTATGAGGTAAAGTACTGGCCAATCCTGATTTAGTATTTTTGCTTGACCTATGCACATTTTCACTATGCAGTGTATTTCTAAAGGTGGTTTATGATGCACTAATTATTTTACTTTTTTTTAAAGCAGATAAGTAATATATACTATGCTAGCAGTTGTTAACACATTGCAGCTTTATTGTGTCCCTATTGTGTAATGAGAACTATGGTGTTATAACGGCGGCCACCAGGGGGAGCTGAGCGACCTGGGCCGGGTACTGATGCAGGGCTCCTTCAACGTGTGGATCACTCACAAACGGGGTCCCACGCGCATGAAGGAAATAGCGCGCTTCAAGCCCATGCAGAGGCACCTGTTCCTGCACGAGCGGGCGCTGCTCTTCTGTAAGCGCAGGGAGGAGCACGGAGAAGGCTACGAAAAGACTCCCTCTTACAGCTTTAAGCACTGCCTCAGGGTAAGAGCACTTCAGCAGAACCCCGACACTCCGGAATACACCTCCTAGATGGTATATACAGAGCGCTTGTACCCGCACTGTCACACACAAAGCCTCATGCAGAGCTGGGAGGTAGGGCAGCGTTTCTCAGCCCAGGGAGAGCAGGCAGACACAGCGGAGCTGCAGACCTGGAGAGGTAAAGCAGCGGACCTACGCACTGGCCCACAATGCCACCTTGTACCTGGGCATTCACTGGAAGCTCAGCCTAGCGGCCTAGTCGACTCCTTGACAGCATGTATGTTTGTGATGCTTTACCCATCTCACCGGTACATAGGACGAAAGAGTCTGCTAAATAAAGTGAATGTAGTAATAATAATAATATACATATTGTAATATTTATCCTGGACAGGGTCCAGGGGCAGTGCTACACCCGCATGGGCTAACAGTCTAATAGTAGAAGTAGAGGCAGTATTAAGGGGCAACGCAGTGGCTCATTGGGCAGCAGCTATTTTCACCTTGGATGCCTTCCTCAGTGTCAGTGCACACGTTTGCAGTGAACTGGTGACTCAGAGCTGCACACAGTGTTTGATTCGACTCCCTAGAAGAGACTGCAGGCTCACTGCGAACCTGAAAGGGTTATGCTCTCTGCTGTCTGTCTTCACAGAATAGTCAATTATTATGGTCTAATATTCTGCAGTGCTAAATTGTGCATGGTTCTAGTCACTCATTGCAAGGTCAGCCTTGTACCACTTCTATCTAAGGTGGCTCCTTGATACCTGTGTGATTGTGATGGATAATAGCGACTGCTCAATAAATTAATGTAATGGAAAATGGATGGTTACTAACTGCAGTGTTATTACAGGTACTATTGTACTTTAAAATACCAGCAGTACTACAGAAGTACTATTGGTACTCTATATGACCAACATCTTCTCATTTTCAGTGTATATTGTTATTCCAGCCATTCCTGGTGTTCTTCGGAGATACAGCCTGTTTTCTAATGTCACCTACAGATGAGTGCAGTGGGAATTACAGAGAATGTCAAGGGAGACATTAAGAAGTTTGAGATCTGGTACAGTGGTAGAGAAGAGGTCTATGTGGTTCAGGTACAGTCAGTATTTACCATATGTGTTCGTTGTTTGTTTTCTGCCATTGAGCCAGTTCTAATCTGTTCCATCATGTTACGGGCTGGATGATTCCTTAGGCCCCGACCTTGGAGGTGAAGCTAGCCTGGCTTAGCGAGATCCGCAAAATACTCACCAGCCAGAAAAAAGTCCCGCAAGGTGCATACTCTGCATTTTAATGCATGTATTACAGAAGCATCGTTAATGGACTGCTGTGCTTGTGACTACAACATTGAAAGCCCTTCTCTCATTCCCCCCTCCCCTTTAGATGATTCTCTCCAACCCTGTCTGGCTTCGGACAGGCATCAGATGTCCTCGTCATCATCTGATAGGTAGGTTTCAGCACCTGTTTCCTTACAGAAACCACCATAGCTGCCCAAGGGCTACGTTTGTGGTAGGCTCAACACCTGATCCATGTCAGGGGGGCACTATGAGCTAGGACAGGGTTTGTAAAAGACCTGAATTTCACTTAAGCACTGAGTTCTTGCTGTGTGCTGATTGGTCAGTCTCCTGTAATCACGCATGTGCCATTAATGTTAATGTGAAACTGCTGGATGAGTCTTTCAATCAGGGAAACAAACCCTTAAAAGCACAAGAGCTGAACCGTTTAGCCAAACACAGGAGCCTTTCAGTTTTAAAGTAGTTTGTAAAGCCTGAAGTAGCTCACGGTGTCCCTCCTGACATGGATTCGGAGGTCACCCTACTTTGTGGTGCCCATTATTTTAAGCAAAAAGTTCAGAGGTAGTTTTCCCAAAAATGCCTGCGAACACCAGGGCTGGCTTTCTCATGTATGATGTGATTGTGGCTGTAAATAAATAACAAATCTGCATAAAACAAAAGTCACTTTTGTGACTATGCCGTCTTTGTATGTGTAAGTAGTGGGCACTAATTGTGACATGTTCTTCCATTACAACAGCATGGAAGAAAAAATTGTGATTTTATATTGACATCTTTTTGCTTTTACAATAACAAATGGTCATTGTAAATTAATATTGTAATAAAAAAAACTGCACAAATAATATAGTAGTACACTCTTAATTAATATACTAATTAATCAGAAACTTAGTTACTGATCCCATGTTGATTCATCATTAATCAGTCATTATCATTGTTCATCATTCATCATCAATTTTCATTTCATGCAGTCAGTATATTTGTTTATGATTTGCACTTGAGTTGTAACTGAGTAAGTAACTAAGTGATGGAGAAACTGACGCCTCATGAACCATTTGCTGTTATTTTTTTTACCCCACTAGATGTTGCTCTCTGTTCAAAATAGTGCGTAAAGCATGCCCCAAAGCATGCCCCAAAGCATGCCTCAAAGCATGCCTCAAAGCATGTCCCAAAGCATGCCCCAAAGCATGCCCCAAAGCATGTCCCAAAGCATGCCCCAAAGCATGCCCCAAAGCATGCCCCAAAGCATGCCTCAAAGCATGCCTCAAAGCATGCCCCAAAGCATGCCCCAAAGCATGCCCCAAAGCATGCCCCAAAGCATGCCCCAAAGCATGCCCCAAAGCAAACCCACAGCACCATCTAGT